TCAATTTACAGTTTCTTCAAATTTATCTTGAGCATTGTTTAATAATGATATAATATCACTTGATTTTTGTAACGGTGGTAAAGGACGATTTTGATTAGGTTTTGATTGTTCATATTCTTTTGCTTTTTGTGTTAAACTTAAAATATATAAATTAGATTTTAAATTAAATAAAGAAAATTTTATTTACTGTTTTAAACATTCAGTTACACGAGGGCAATCATTTTTTGAAATAAACCATATTCCATAAATATCTGCAGAAGTAAAAAAAAGATTAATAAGAGACGATTTTGTTTTTTCAAAAAATTCTTTACCTCCAACATCGACTTTATATTGAAGAAATGCTTCATAAGTAGGTGTATGTTTAAATTCCATCGTTGGTTTTATAATTTGTACAAATGTTTCACGTGATACTGTACTTAATATTACAAAACCATGAAAAGGTTCACACATTCTTAATAAAATATATAAATTTAAATTAGATTTAAAAAATAATTTTTTATTTTATTTACCTTTCATAAACAAATAATGTTCCTTCAAGTTCTTTACGTTCCTAAAAATGATAAAAAATTAATAATATGTATATATATGCATTTATATTCTTTTCTTTTACCCATTCACGTTTTTCAGCTATGAATTTATAAACACAAACACGTTGAGCTTGATCAACAATTTTTGATATATATGGATCACGATTTTGTAATGCTTGTAAATTAATACGATTTAATTGATCTTCTTCATTATTATCATTGGAAGTATTGGATATAGAAATATTTGTTACACGAGTAGTATTTGTTGATGATGTAATCGTTGTTGCCATCTCAAAAATTTAATTCGAATATTAATCGATTGAAATTTATGAATCAGTAATTGTGAAAATATATTTTTTAGTGAGAAAAGAATACAAACTAATGGCAATTTATGGTTAAATAAATATGGGTAAAACATGGATTGTCTATGTGTATTTGTTTATTAGTATTATCTTCAACGTGCTGTTTGTATCATAAATATTCTCACTCCAAATTATTTTAGATTTTTACAATATATTTTGCTATATCATGTCAACTACTAATAAATCTGACGAAGCTGTTACAAAAAATCGTCATGCAGCACCGCCTCAAACAAATAAATCATCAGAAAATTCCAAAGACAACCAAGCTGCAACCACACTACCATTAGATGTATATCATATAGTTCGTGATCTTGTTTTGTTCTTTTGTCGTCGTATTATATTTGGACCACCAAGATTTAAATTACTTGTTTCATTTGCTATTATTCTAATTGGTTCTATTTTAAAATCACTTGATTTAGCACCAACATCTTATTTTTCATTAAAACACAATATATTCAATAGATATTTTGCTAAATTAGGTTGGGCATGGACAATTGGTTTATTATTTCCATTTATTTATTTAACTTTAATGACAACACATAATAATTATCAAATTGTAACACGTCATTTAGTTCGTTTACTTGTTGCAACTGGTGTTTGGTATATAATAACATACATTTTTGTTAGTTTCGAAGCATATACAGGCATGTGTAAACATCAAGAAATGCGAGGAGCTTCAAGAAAAATTTGTGTTGGTGGTGGATATGAATGGCAAGAAGGACATGACTTTAGTGGACATACATTTTTACTTCTCTATTCACTTTTAATAATCAATGAAGAAGTTAAATCATATGATAAAGGTACAAAAAAAGTTCAACAAGCAAGTCAATCAACAAATGCTAGTGGAGACACATTAGGAAATATAAGTCAAGATCAATTAAAGCTTATTTCAAAAATTATTCAAATTATCTATGTTTTATTAGCAGCATTAACTATTCTCTGGGAATTTATGCTTCTATCAACAGCTTTATATTATCATCATACGTTTCATAAATTAGCAGCTGCCTTTGTTGCTGTATTTTTTTGGTATATTACTTATTATGTATGGTATCGTCCAAATAGCACATCAATCTTATATCCATCATCACCTAAAGAGCGAAATTACTAAAACTATATGCGTTTGTGTATTAGATACTATGTTTTTGTGTGTGTTTCGGTGATCAGATCAATGTGTGCACTTTCTTATTCTTGTCTTTATTCAAGCGTATATAAACTAGAAAAAAAACAAAAATAAATGTTCATTTTTATAAATATTCTATCTCATTTAGAAAATTCGAAATTGAAAACATAATATGTCCAACCTGACATGACTCAAGGTTCTCATATGATTCAATATAGAATTGTATAATATACAAGTATAATATTAATACTACAAATTCTAATTCGATATTTTCTTGTAATAATTTAAGAAGCTTCTTTACTTAATCAAAATTTATTTTCTATGTATTCAAAGCGCTAGTTGTCATATAGGAAAAAAAACAACAAACTTATATTTTTGTTTTGTATCGTAACGACATCTTCCTTGGATAGTATCCATTGATTTAAATCTATATCCAATTTAATATTTGAAAAGAACATCATCATTTTTCATTTTCTTATTATATTTGCTCTAGATGTCCTTACTACAATAATAAATATAAAATATTTAATTTAGATGAGTAGCATTAGTCCATCGTGTCAAAATTTAAAAGATGAATATGATGCATGTTTTAATTCATGGTTTACAGATCATTATTTAAAAGGTGATACAACAACGGATATGTGTACAAATTTATTTAAAAAATATCAAGCTTGTATTAAAGTAATAAAAAGGAAAAGGAAATAAATTATTTTAAATATTTTTATTTCAATAGGAAGCAGTTAAAGAACATAAAATAACATTATGGGAACTTGAAAATGAATCAATACCAAAAAAGACTTAATTTCTTTTTTTGTCATTCGATATTTGTTTATTTTTTGTTCTAGATCGTCACTGAAACTTTTTTTTAATATTGAATGCTTATTAAAAATCATGACTGATAATATGCAACGATCATCATCGCGTACGATATATAATAGTGATGCAATTGATTGTATTGTTAACACAAATGATCTTGCATTGGAACATGATACAATGAATCAAGAATTTGAACAAAAAAGGTTTTTTGTCAATAGATTGAATTTCTTTGTAAATAAGAAAATGTTATTATTTAGAGCATCAAGTGATTCACGACGTCATCAACCATCCAAACGTATCAATGGACATTCAACTGATCGATCAAGTCGTCATTCTCCACCATTAGTTACACATAAACGTCCGTCAAGTCCTTCAACTAATTCATTATCAACATCACGTTCTCAACATAATTATTATGTATCTCAGAAATATCAAGAAGTTTCAAGATCACCATCACCAACATCTCGACATCATCGATCCAGTCGAGTTGCTGCTTCAGTAAAACGTCCACATTCTGATTCTCGATCACCACATGAACGACGTCCAACAACACATCGTACTTATCCAACATCGTCACGTAAACGTACTAATGATATTGATGAATTTCAATCTACTCCATCAGTAAGAAAACAAACCGGATCTACAAAAACACATCGAAAACAAGAACTAGGTGATTTAAGTATCGTATCCGAAGATGAATTAACAAAACCACATGATAATCAAGTAAAATACTAGATATTAAAATTCCTTTTTTTTATAATAACATTTTTATACAGTCAAATAATTCCACAACCAATGAATTATCATCATCAACAACGTAAATAAATCTATTATTAATTAAAATCAATTTCTATGCTTTATTATTTTAGTAATAAACTTCATTCAACTCCATCTGTTCCTATACTTCAACCAACTTCAAATGAAAGTCTTTTAGAAATGAGTACCATTCCTCAAGATTGTGAAATATCACTTTTTGCTAAATCAGCTCTTTCAATTACAAATACAAGTTCAATTTCAACAACACCAATCATTCCTGGAAATGATTTTATGCAAATTATTGATCTTATGAGTAGATATAAAATGATGCAAGCCATACCATCTACTAATAAAGAGATCGAAGTTTGTTCCAAGTAAATATATATCCATATATAAATTATTTTATTTCGGTTTTTTTCTAATCTATTAAATATGAATATAACTAACTTAGGGAAATCTTTGTACTTATACAAAAACAAATTGAATTACAAAAAAAAGAACTTGATTATCGTGAAAGAGAAATGAAATTACGTGAACGTGAACTTATTGAACGTGAAAAATGTTTTAATGAAAAATTGAATGGTCCAAAAAATTTAATTTCAAATACTAATGAACCTATTGTTACTTTTAAACCAACAATTATTGAAGAAAAACCATCACAACAAGAATTTAAAATCACAATTGATCAAAATACGAAAAATGTATGTGAAATTCATTTTCTATTAATGATTTATTAATAGAAATAGAATATTATCAGATAATTATTAATCTATCTTTGACATTGATGATATTCATGTAATATGAAATTTGAAAATTATATTTATCTTTAAAGGTAATGCAAGAAAAAACTGTTGAACAATCAATTCCAACGACTGTTGATACGTCGAAAATTGATTTAGGAAATAAAAATACTTCGAATCAATCATCATCATCAATTCGTAAGAATCATGGAAAATCACGTTTTTCACAAATTATTGATGAACCATCAATTTCTACTTTACAAAAACAACCAATAATTGATCCATATAGTGATATTGATATAGATAATCAATCATGTTCATCTATAAATTCAACAAATTCTTTAAAAAAAGTTCTTTCAAACATTTTAGCATCTAGTGAATCAACAAAATCTATCATGGATGGTGATTTAAAAGTAACATCAACAAATTCATGTCGTAAAGTTGAAATTCAAAGTGACAATATTCATCCAACAATAACAATAAGTAAAGAACCACCACAGGATTTACGTTTAACTTTAAGTAAAAATCGAACAAAACATCAAAACAATGATGATAACAACACACATGATCAAGTAATCAATCGTGATGAACAAATTGTAACAATGTCAGCAATCAATGAAGACAAACAACAAAGGTAGACCGTGTTTAAAAATAAATTCTTCTCACATAAACGGTTATGTGTGAATGATATTTAAAAAAAAATAAGAATGGGCTTGAAACAAATCAATATGCGTTCGTCCATTTTGCAGCCATGATTACCCGCAACAAAGAAGTGTCACATCGGCATCGATTGGGACAATCATCGACGAATCCAATGACAAACGAGATGATCATCGTCATCATCATCATCATCAACAGCAACGATCCAACAGCAGTCGACAACAGCAATATCCAGGTGACAATTATTCAGCATCAACAAATGAACGATCTTATTATAATAGTATAGTTTCTCGAATAATTATACAATTATTTATTTCTTCTTTTTCTCTTTAGGATCAACATCACAACAATCAGCAAAACATGAACCAAATCAAAAGGTAAGTGTATTTAGAATCCTTTGTTATTCCACTATAACACATATTCAACTAATAAAAAAATGCTTTCAATTCTGCACATAAAGTAAATTTCAATGAGGTATGACAAACCTTTAAAACGTGACATATTTCCAATTACCATCATTTGTATTACAACTATTTAGTTAAATTTGCGCTTTTATGTTTGTCATATCTCACTGAAACTGATCTATTGACAATACTCTTTCTTTACTCTATTTCTACATAATAAAAATTAATGTCGAATAGAAAAGTAAACAGATATGAGATAAACATTCTATTTTATCTTTGTTCTTCTCTTCTGTTATACATTGATTGATTCATTTGATATAATCAAACTTACACTTGAATAATAATAAACATCTTGATTTTATATGATTGTCTTATCAGTCAATGAATACAAAACAAAAAGAACAATAGATATAGATAGCAACAATATTTTATGAATATCTATTTATATCATTGTCTGTTGTTCTTTTATTTTGAATTAGATTTCGTTATTATTATTATATACATTTTCTTTCAGCGCCATGAAACTGATGATCTTCGTATTCATATACATGAACAGAAATATCCTAAACCATCACGTAAGTCAATAATATTCTATTTCCTTTTTTTATTTTCTTTATTTTAGGATCAACATATAAAAACTAACTATGAACTTTAGTTCCGAACGTCTTTTGCTTTTCTTCATTTCGTATCACATTTATTTGATAAATACGTAATTTCTTGTTTTCTTTTTCTCCTTCATTTCATTTCTTATTCAAGAGAAAGCTTCTTGTATTTGTGTTTGATAATCTGTTTTTCTTCTTCTTTATTTCATCAAACGTGATTGTGGTCATCATATATATATACATATTACATATTTGCTAAACATGAGCGTATCTTCACCTCTTTTTTGTATGTGTGTTTTTGTTTTGTATATCGGAAGTGCAAAACTTGAATATACTTTACTAATAAAACAAATAAATAAGATAATTTAATCATGTTTTCTTTTTCAATAAGTTTATTGTAGATTATGCCGTTATCCGATGAAGATTTTCAACGATTCCAAAATGAATTGCTTAGACTTAGAACAGAAAAATATCAATTGGAAGAACAGACTAAAAGATTAACTACAGGTAAATTAAACAGATGTTCTCTTTAATATATCGATCGACAATGAATAGTTTTATCTAAAACGCAGGATGTACAACAAAGTTTCATAAGAAATTGTTAGAATAAATAGACTTGATCAGATTATATCTTTACTATAGACGTTATGAGTTTTGACATTGTTTACAGGTAAACATGTGTTGAGAACGAGAATGAACTAATTAGATGCAAAATCTTTTACTTTAGAAGAGTAAACAATAGATTGCAATCGATCTTTCAGATATACAAACAAAGAGAAGTATGAATTGCCCTACTAATTTTATTTATTTTGCTTCGGTATAAATGACTTAATAGCTGATTGCATATTCTTTGCTTTTAAAAGATTTTATTTATTTCGATTGAATATGAAATTTTCTCTATGATCAATTGTTAAAAAATATTTTTATTATGACAAAAACTAACCTATTGATTTCAATTTGAAATATATAGAATTAAGATTATGAGAAAAAAATCTAAGTATGTACAAATCTTGACATTTGACAAAATGTATATTAAGATATTTAAACCTTCCCGGTCGGATGTTGTCAAATGCCCCAGCGGAGTACGGCATTTTCTGAATAGTCAACCAGAAAGAGTCAAAATATTTTCAGGAAGCCTAATAGAAAAGAATTTCATTCACACTTAACTGTTTTGAGGTATTGGGTAGGTCTAATAATCATCTTTGCATACGATTGAATATCGCTGTAATCAACAATAGTCATACTAAATTAACAAGTTACATTAATAAATGAATTTTCGAACTCGAAGTCCTTTACGTAGAATAATAAAAGAACTTATCGCTAATTTTGAAGTTCTATGAATCTTTTTGAATTTTGATAAATCTAAGCATATTTTTGTATTTTAGAAAATGTTCAATTAAAAAGTCAAATTGAAACTTATGAAAAAGATAGTATCCGTTTACCAACAAAAATGGTATAGTTTTTTATTTCAATTAAATAAATGTTTATCATCATATATATTTTTTAGTTACCATTTAAAATTATGCGTAATTCTTCACGAGATGTTGATGATGTTCAACGTAAAAATGATGCACTTACACAAAAAGTACATACACAAGAAGAAGAATTTCGATTACAAAATGAAACAATGATGCATGAATTAAATGAAGTAAATAAATGAAAAAAGATTTTATTTGAGAAAATTTAAATTTCTACTAAAGATTTAGCAATTAAAGGTGATGATCGCATTTGAAGACGATAGTGATAATAAAGCATATAAACAAAAAATAGAATTAATATAATGAGAATAATTACTAGAAATATAAATGTTAATTTTAATAAAATTACATTTGTTTGTGGTCGAGGTATTGATGCAAATATTTGTCGATAAGTTTCGTCAAATGATAGATAATGATGATAAGGTATAAAATTTGTTGGTAATGTAACATTTGTATAATTTGTTAAACTATAATTTTCTGTTGTTGGATCTGTTTGATCAATCGATAATTCTAAGTTAAGATCATCAATATTTGTATCAATAGATTTTGATCTAAATAAAATAAAATAGAATTATTTTAAGAATAGTTAGGTTTTGTATTACGTTGTATAAAAATGACATTTAGCATCTTGAATAAAAAGTGTATTGGATCGAATTGAATCACAATTTTTCTCGTCAATAAATGTTTTCCATAATGAATTATCTTTAAGAGTAAATTCACATTGATTTGTTTGATTGACATTTTTTATTTCGACATTTATTTCAATTTGTTGATTTAATAATGTATGATCAATATTTTCAAATGGAATATAAAATGCATTGATTAGAATAGAATGATTTGTAAAATGATTTAATTCACTTTTTGATGTATTTATTTGTATTTTATTATTTAAATGAATTATTATTTCAATATCATTGCTATTAATTAATGAGAATAATATATTATATTGATAGAGATCAATTATAAGCCATATTAAACGTGATCGTAAACGACAGAAAAATGTGAAATCAATTTCAATTGGTAAGATTTCGATTGTGTATGATGGAAGTGGACATTCATATGATATTAATGGTTGATCATTTGATGGAGCATCGGATATTCTTGTAATATTGTTTGGACAATGAAAATACCATTTAGTACGATGATTAATAACACCGAAATGGAATTGATCATTTGCATAGGTTGAAAGAAAAATATCGAAAAAAGTTAGAAATAATATTAGATTCGAATTCATTGAAGAAAATTGTTTGATTTCATTCGATTGTCAGATTGAAATTTATTATAACTAAATAAATGAAAATATATATATATATGTATTATTTATCATAAAGACTTTTTTCAAAATAATCGATCGTGACTTAAAGAAAAAGTTTTTTTTTCCTTTACGATAGTCAATCACTCTGTCTTCCTCTTCAGGTATTTAAATCATTATGATAGAGATTGATCCTCACAATCTCTTCTTTAACTATGTCCCTGAACATTATCGTGACATATCATATATCTAATGATTTTCTCAAGGGCAACGCAAGTTGGTTAATTTTGATTGACAGAAATTATTATAAAAAAAAATCTGTTTTTCTTAAAAAATATTATTTGTAGAATAGATAATACTCGATAATTATTTAATATATATGACATAGTTAATTAGTAATGTCAAAGATATAGATATACGAATATGTTCTAAAGATACAATTATTTAGTATTAAACAGTTCATTTATACCTTATAGAAATATAATTTTACTTACATGAATATATAATCTGTTTTCCTGTTGGAATGTTCGTATGAATATAGAAAGAAAAATCTATTAAGAAATTAGTAAAGTGAGTATAATGGATTTTTTATATATATTTTAGTATGTAAACAAAGTAGAACAACTTGAAAATGAACTTAAACTGCATAAAGAAGGTCGTTATACAAATCTAAATAATTCTCATGATGGTACAGATACAGTCAATGTAATTAATGAAGAAAATCGACGTTTAAAAGCAGAAAATAATGTTTTACAAAAGAAACTTTCAGGTAAAAATAAAGAAAAAAAAAATAAATTTCGTATTTTATTAATTCTACATATATTTTTTAAAGAATTATCAGCGAAAACTGTGGAATCAATATCTACAGCAAGTTCCAGCAATGAATCATTCCAAAAAGAAGATGTAGAAGTCGAATGTGATGATAATCGGTATTTATCTTATCTTCTTCTTTTATTTTTCACTTGGAACTATAGCTATTACATTAATGATAATGTGCTACATGATAGGACACACGTCTATCCTCTTCCTTGCTTTCTTTTCATATGGTAACATACTTTACATCAAGGCTTCTATCAAATAGATGTATAACATATATAAACATTGATTATTTTCAACTAAATATATATGTGAATACTAACGTAACATGGAAAAGAATTGGAAGAATCTTCACGCTTCTTTCTTTCTTTTTTATTTATAATTGTTGTTCTTTGAGCGTGTGAATGGTTATGTTTCGGTTGGTTTAGTATGTAACTAATCAAGGAACTAGTCTGTCTATTATATACTAGAATATTCTAATAGAAATTTTTCATTAAGTTCTGTGATTAATAGTCATTGAAAGGATTGTACATAGTTTAACAAAAAAAGGAAACTCTTAATAAGAGAACGTTTTTGTGACATATATTTCTATTACAATAATCTAATTTCGTTATAGACTTATATTTACATCTGTCAGAAACTATTTTCTATATATGTATAATCGTTCGATACCTCCCTTTCGATTATACTCGTTGTTCTCAAATCTTAGTCATATACGAACTATATTCTCGATTATGAAAAGCAAATGAGTACAATTTGATCAGGCTTCGATAATTTATAACGAAAAAAAAAACAATGTCTCGAATAATGACTATCCATTACAAAAATAATACAGAAGACTTCATTAAGAAGTTGTATATGTATTTATAATGATACATTGTTATCAGAATCAAAATCTAGCTTACTATCATTATTTAAGATAAAGAACATCTGTTTTTTATCATTGTTGTCTAACTATAACCTAAATACGAACAATGTCAATAGTCGCTTTTCATCGTTATTACAGACATATCTTCTTTACAAGTTATATATCTTATTATGTCCGAACTTATTTTGCATGAATTTCTGAATGCTAGGAAGACTCGATGTGTTCTATAAAAATGCGAGAAAGAATTCTTTTTGTCAGAATATAATATTTTGTTTCTACCTGATTTTGACTAGAAGGTCGCTATTACGGAAAGTAATCGTAATAATGAAGGATGCAGTTCATTATTATATAATACTGATTTGTACTTATTATCAATTGAGTGAGCAAGAATTAACATAATTTTAAACACCATAGAATAATACTAATGGTCCTATGTCATTATAAAGATAATTATACATGTTATTTTTAGTAGTAAAGATACCACATAATTATAATTAGTTTTAGAATGTACTGCTAAAAAACATTGCGAGTATGATTTCAATATTGAATTTCTTCGAGAATTAAATCTGGAAAGTAGTATGTTAAAATGTCATACCGCGAAGTTAGATATTAACTTTGAAGCATATTTCTATATAAAAAGGGATTAATCTAATTGTGTTTTACAACAATATAAACAATATTTAACTATTTGAATAACTTGTGCAAATAAATTCAAATATTTACTTATTATTAATACGTGCTCTTAATTGTGTTCGATATAGAAATGACGGACATGTTACAACTAATTTGTCTAACTTTAAAATGAATGGTAGTAGTGATGTAGTTTCCTTCCTTTTTTAATGCTACTTCTTTGTTTGAAGAAAAAAAAAGGACTATTGTTAATATGTAAGTATGAATCAATCATACAATGGACAATACATTGACAGGAAAGGTTAAATAATGTGAACAAGAAGGCGTATAAACATAGATCGAATGAATAATAAAATACAATTCTTTTACGATAAAAAATTTCTTTTTGAAATATAAAGAACTATCAATCAAAAATATTCTTAGATTAAAAGTAAGAATAATGAAATGAAATAAAAGTTAATCTAATCCGACAATTTAAATTAATCATTTAGTTCAACAATATAGTTTCTAAAGAACAGTTATGTTCTATAATTATCCTATAAAATAAAAAACAAATAGTTCTTTGGCATGACAATTTTTATTGCATAATTTGCATATGTACATTTGATCGTTACATAATAGATATATGTATTTTATATCATTCTTGGGAATTATATGTAATAAAAATTGTCTAGTGTTGTGCATTCATTTTTCACATTATTTACTTAATACGAAAATATTTATTATCCGATAGGATTAAATAGTTGTTTAGAAATAATAAGAATATTCAATATATCTCTAGGGAAATAAGAATTCACATGATATCCCTATTTTCGATAAATAAAAAAGATTTTCTTTGTTTTAGTAGCGAAGGTGGTCTAGTGCATATTGTTACAACCAAAACAACAAATGGTGAAGCAAAATTATTCGATAGTAAATATTTTTCTATTGGAATTTTCTATATATGTTATTGTTTTTATTTTAGATAATAGTATTCGTTTTGAAACTGAACAAGAAGAAAAACGTCTTCTTCGAGAACAATATCGTCAATTAGAAATAACATCGAATGAAACTAATGCAAAACTTTCGAAACAAATTGAAATTGTAAAATAATATTATTTTTCATAAATTAAAATCTTAGTAAAATCTTTTAGTTAGAAGAAAAACTTGATGAAAAACAAAAATCATTTTTACAATCACAATACGATTCCGAAAAACGTATTCAAGAAATTATGTAAGAAAAAAACTATATATATATGGAAGAAATTCTTATTCTTATTTTAGTACTGAGAATAATAGTATGAAACAAACACACGAAGTACAAATTGATGTCTTAAAATCAGATATAAAACGATTACAAGATGAAATTCAAACAAGTCAAAAAGTAAAATATCGAATCTATTCTTTTTACTGAGATTGTTTCTGAAGGGTCAGTGGTTTATATCCAAATTGCATAAGGAGAGAGAAGCCGAAAAACTTGAAACTTACGTGGGTTTCATAAAATGAATTCTTTGTGTTTTAGGCTAAAGATGATGAAATAAGTAAATATCAGAAACGTTTAAATGAATTACAAATAACTATTGATCAATTAGAATCACAGGTTAGTTTGAAAAAAACTTCTGTTTTTGCTATTTGCTTGCTAATACTTACTGCTTTTAATAAAGATTGGCACAGTTGCTGCTGAACAAAATCAGCAATTACGCACTACTAATGCTGAACACCAACGAATTCTTGAAGATAAAGAATTGCTACTTAGTCAAACACTTGTTGATCGTGATTTATTACGCACTGAAACTGAGGTGTGAAATAATTTGAAAAAAAAAATTCGAATTATTTTCTTTTTCTTTTCTTATTTAGCAATCGAAAGAAGCTTATGAAACATTATTACAAACTGTTCAAATACTTGAACAACAAGTAACAACAAAAACACGTGAATGTGAATCTCAACAACGAGTAAGAGATTGTTTTTTTTGTTATGATTGTTAAATAAATATGAAATTTGATATTGTATAGATGGCTGAACAACGTAAAACTATGATTGATGAGATGGCTGCTAATCATTTACAAATCGAAGAAAAATCAAAATTAGCTTTACAAAGCCAAAAAGATAAATATCAATCAGAAGTTGAAAAGTTCGAAAAAGAAATTAATGATTTAAAGGTATATTTCGTTGAATAATAACAGATATATTAGTATTTATCTCTTCAGTTGAGAGTCGATACACTTTCTCATCTTATTTTCATAAGCAAACTCTCTTGAAAAACAAAAATAGTTATATATTCAAATCTAAAACATAGAATTATATAATAAAAAGCCTTATGCATTGTTCGATTTATGACTATACTTTTATTACAATTGAAACAAACGAATTTTTATTATACCCAGCGATTTCTTTTTTCGGGTGTGCGAATCGAACTGCAGAGTGCGCGAAATGAAAATTCTAGGTGGGCGAATCGAAAATTCGAGTGGGCGCCGCCCACTTAGCCCACCCACTAGATAAAACACTGATTATAACTCCGGAAAAGTTTTACATTGCTTTTATTTTCTAATGATTTAGATCAAAGATCGAACATTAAAACAATTACAATATCGTTGTACAGAATTAGAGAATCGTCTTAAATCTGAAGAAGAACTTAAACAAGTTTTAACATTACGTGTAGAAGAATTACAAGTATATTTATTTTTTTGATTCATCTTATTTATTCATAATGGTTTTGTTTAGACTGAAATCTATGAACTTAAAAATAGTTTTGAAACTCAATTAAATGAACAACAAATACAAAACGAACAACAATTAATTAATGAAAGACATGAACATCAAGAACATATTCAAGTAGAAATTATTTTTTTATAAAAATAGAAATATTTTATATTTATTATATAGAATTTAACTGAAATACTCAGTACAAAAGCTCATACAATTGAAGAATTAAATGCTCAAATCGATGTTTTAAAACAGGTTTATTCGATAATATATCTATATAAATAAAATTTAAACTTTCATTTTGCTTTAGGAAGCATTAACATTTATTGATGAAAAACGAGCACATGAAAGAAAAGGAGCTACATTGGTTTGTTATTATTTGTGTTTTAATGAAAAAGAATAAATTTTTTTTTTGTTTATTTAAAGATGAAAGATTTACAAAAACAATTAAATGCTGAAAAAAAGAAAAATGAACGAATGCAAGAGAAATTAACTGAATTACTTTCAGGAGATAAAACCGGTATAGTTACTTTTTATTTTAATCTAATTATTTATGACATTGTTTTATTATAGCACTTGATGAGCTTTTTTATGTACATAAATCAGATGGAAGTCGCCAGGGTGATACAGGGTATATATACATTATTTGATTGTTTCTTTTTATTCTTGATATTTCTTTTTTCTATAGATCAGTTTCATCATTTGGTGGTGGACAAGGATATATTGATCGAGTAAATATATTTGAATGAAAATTATTTTTATTTTATTCTTTTTTGTATTTAATAATAGGCTTCAGTAGCATCAACTCAAATGAGTTCCGTAGCATTAGAACAAGAAAATAGAGATTTAATACAACGATTAGCACGAGTACAAGAAGAACGTTCAATACTGGAAGAAAAAGTTCGACATTTAGAATCATCCAATTCCGCAATGGCTAATGATCTTATTCAACATTATTCAAATGATAAACGTGGATCAGTTGCTAGTAAATTTTAAAAAAAGATAATAAATATATATATATCTATTGTAAAATAGGTTTAAATCCTCGTTTATCAACTCCACCATCTCGTCGTCGACAAAATCCTTCATTAGAACGTCAAACAAATTCATCATTAACCCTTCGAAATATGTTTGAAAGTTTTAGTGGAAATAAAAATCAATCATCAAATGACGATACGATTAAAAATTTACAACGTTTATTAGAAGAAACTTTAACTAAAAATATGCATCTACAAAAAGATTTAGAATCAGTTACATTACAATTACAAAGTCAATCATCAATAAATCAATAAAATATAATCATCTTACTTATTTTTTTTTGAACAATCATTCCAAGCTTTCCTTTTAATCGATTCTAGTCATGAATATTTATTTATTATTAACTTGTTTTTATCGATTTAGAAATTTTTTTGTTCTTCATTATATCTCACTTATGTAATTGTACTGTAACAGTGAGATTTTCACACACATAATTTTTTTCATTATCTTTCACCTTTTGTGTACACATAACATTTCCTTTCTTCTATTTATTCAAATTTTTTCTTAAAATGATCAGAAGAAAAAAAAACAACAAAACCAAGAAACAAATTTTATTTCAAAACAGTTTTTAATTCAATAAAGCTGTATGCCTTTACATTTTTTTAATAATAAAATTTTAGTTAGTTGTAGATATTATATATACTGTGATTGGATTCTTATTATGCCCTTATATGTCGAAATAAAACAAGCCGTTTTGGTAAGTTTGTTTTTAATTGATAAATGTATCGAAGGATGATTTACATGGGAGAGGTAGACGAGAAAAATAAATGAATCGAGAGAAAGAGAATAAAAGTACAAAGTATTATAAAACAAGCAACCTTATAACTTACCTTCATCGAATGTAAAGATAGAACAGAAAGCAAATATTTAAAACAATTGGTGGTTAGTGATATTTTAAATTGCTTGACAATAAGTTTATGTAAATATTTTACTTATACTAATAATTTAATCATAGTATTTAAATGAAATAATCTTTTTTCTTCAGCGTCAATATTACCGTCGTTCATATACATTTCAAAGATTACCAATGAATCAAAAACTTCTTACTATTCTCCTACCAATCATTTTTTTTATTGGAACAATTATGATTTATCGTTCCTATCAATCATCTGATTCAATTACTGGTAAGAATATAAACATTTCGAATCTATTATTATTTATTTATTTTTCTCTACTTTAGTTGTGTCAGATAAACCTGTACGTGTTGACTTTTTTGTTATGTCAAAATGTCCTGATGCAAAAAAATGTGAAACATTATTTGGTCCAACACTATTAAAATTATCTTCAATTATTAATTTTACTGTATCATATATTGCCTATGGTACAAAAGCAGATTCAATTGAATGTATGCATGGTCCAGATGAATGTCTTGGTAATAAACAACAATTATGTGTACAAAGTATGTGTTCCCAAACAACACTACTTAAATTTCTTCAATGTCAATCAAAACAATATGGAAACATTCCAAATAATGGTGAACAATGTGTTAAAGAAGTATCCGATGGAACAATCCAATGGTCTGACATTGATACATGTGCTAAATCTGATAAAGGAAATCAATTATTTCTTAAATCATTAGAAAAAACACGTTCAGCATCAGCTAAAAAATCTTGTACGATAAATTTAAATGGAAAATTTTGGTGTATGCATGATGGTACTTGGTCTGGATGTTCAGAAGGTCATGATGAAAATAGTTTAATCAAAGCTATATGTTCAAGATATAATGGAGCGAATAAACCAACTGAATGCACTACGATTAGTGCTTCGTCTTAGAAATTAGTTTTTATTTTATTTTATTGCTTTCTATTGAAACGTTATTGTTGTCATTTTTCGTTTTCTTTTTTAATGTAAACTATATTTACGAAAAAATAAAGACAAAGAGGAAGAAAAAAATACAACGAAAAGAATTTAAATTAATGAAAAGAACTAAAAAAATTAAGAATTAAAGAATTTACTCAGATTTTCCATTCACGCATTGCTTTTAGGAATTCTAAAAAAAAAAAGGAAAATTATTTTTATTCAAAAAAATAAAATAAAATATTTACCTTTGAGAGAAATACTATTTTCATTTCCAATATCAGAAACCATACCAAGAAAAATATGTGCTTCTTCCTTTGTTATCATTGCTGTATGTCGATTAAAAAATGCTAAAAGTTGATCAAGTGTTATACTACCCGTTTGATTAATATCAATTTCATTAAATAATGAAGTTAATTCAACAACATTTGCTTCACTTGTTAATAGATCATCACCAAAATATTCTCGAAATTCTTTATATTGAATAAAACCATCATCTATAATCAGAAATATAATAATAATCTTAAGAAAACTATTAGTCATACTATTTCGATCTATTTCATTAAATATACGAAGTAATTCATGTTCAGCTAATGTTTGATCAATAATAAGCATCCATGAACGAAATTCAAGATAACTAAGACGAGAATCTGTATTAGCATCAATAAAATTAAACATAAGTCGAGAATCTATACGAAATAGATATTAAAATAATATAATTGAATAGTTTTTTTAAATTAACCTGCTTTGGTTACATTCGTTTTAACCATTGTTTGCCATGGTTTATGTAATTTACGAAATGTAGACATACGCCTTGGAGGTGTATTTTCTTGTGCATTACTGATGTTTGAATGACGATATTTATTTGGCCAGATGGATTTCTTTTCATGTTCAATAATAATTGGTGGTCTTGATTTACACATAAAAATTGAATCAAAATCTGTTGGTGGTGATGTAAGAGGTAGATTAACTTTGTTTGGAATGTTGTAATAACGAGACATGATTGATTTTTCCACGTATGTATAAAGATCGAGAAAAGTTAGTTAAACACTACTAGATATTATTAGTAGTACAGTTATTGATTTCCTCGATGCTATACACACGTTCCACCAACGAATGAAACACTGAACCCAACAAATTTACTTATTTATACTTTCATTTGAAGTATGTTTACATATATATGTATATGTCGTAAAGAAAAAAATGGTAGCTAGAGAATTTTCTTACTTTATTCTGTATGGATAGATTAAAATTGTATTATATCGACTAGCCTATATAAATGCATTTTCTTCTTTGTGGTCATTCAGTTCATATCAAAATAAACTTTATCATTGGTTTGTAAAATAATTAAAGAATGTCATTTAGGTACTTTAGTTGACAAAAAACAATCGTTGACTATCAATTCTTACTAATAATAAAGTACAATTTAAATGAATGTTTCACTCTATCGATGTGAAAAAAACAAGTTAATGGATCTAACTCATCGTGAACTTCACTTTTCAACTATTAAAACCAATGTAATACATATCTAAACTAAAACTTTATACTTTAGATCAAGATTATCAATAACATTCATTAGAAGAAGTAGTTTGTTAAAATCAAAAAGATTTTTTCCCTTGTTAAGTTGTATGAACAATCAATTCACCCTTTTTATGACTACAAAAGTAGATATTAATTTAGATTTCTTTAAAATTATTGATTAAGAATGTCTTGTTTTATGTAATACATTACAATTCATATGTAACATAGAATAATATTTATTAAATTCCAACGAATAGGGTGTGTCATCTCATATATGCAGTCAAAATAATATTTTCGTCTAAGACAAATATTTGTTTAGTTGACTATCAACTGGTAAAAATATAAAGGCGCAAAAAAGATAGATAATGTAAGTTATTTGATCGTTACGTACTATCACGTGTATATTATATCAGTTAATATGATGTAGTCAGACAGACTATTTATCAATGTATAAAAATAATAGTTTATAAAAGGAAAAACAGGCATTTTATTGTATTATTCGTTTATCAAATAATGAAACCAACATATGAAAAACTGACTGTTGATATGAATGGCAAACAAGCTACAACGATAACGATAATCGATGATGATCAACATAAATCTTCGTTTAATTGTCATCCAAAAAACTGCTGTACTCAAAATTGTCTCGTTAATATTATATTTCCAACAATTACAATTGCTTTAGTGATTATCTTAATTCTTTTTTTTCGAAAATACAATGGAAGATGTGGAATCTTTGATAATCCTGCTCACTGTTAATAATCAATATATATATTATAATCATTTATATAATGTAAAAATAAATTTTTATTTCTTTAAAATAAAATAAAACTTTTCTCAACAGCTATTTTCATTAGTTATTTATATAGAAACCGTTATTCATTAGTGTATATAAGCGACATCTGAATAGAAATGTTTTCGTTCTAATACAGATTTTCATATGTATAAATTAGGGAATGATAGTTTTCTTAATCGGATTCATTATCCTAAAATGATTTACTGAATTTTGATTATATGAAGTATAAAATGGCAGACAACTAATGTCTTTTTCTTTCGGTCGATAATTCGTTTGTTCTTTCTTCTTTTAAGAACAAAGACGAAATAACCAATAAGATATTATTGAAATCAATTATTGATTTATGTACCTATTCTGTCAAGTTATTATCTAAACTAATTATTATTTTAGAAGAGAAACACGAGAAAAAGAATGTCTGTGCGGAATAGTGAAGTAGAGACAAATGGTTGGACAACTTTCGATGTACCAAATCAATTTGAAGATCTACAAAAACAACTCGCTACTGGTTCCTATTATGTACAAAATGTTCTTGATCTTGCCGATATTAACACACGTTTACAAAGTAATAAATAATTCTAAAAATCTATGTTCTTTCTCATTATATTTAATTTAGATATTTCACGAATTCGAGAACCAAAAGAACTACTTGAGATGTTTCCATTCTTCTACAGTATTGCCATGTAAAATATTGTCTTATTTCTTTTTATAAATAAGATTATTTGTTCTTATAGTCATTTTGATAAAGTAGCAATTACTGGACGTTCTCAAGCTGTTGAAATATTACTTCGATGTAAGAATTGATTTTCTTAAAAGATTATTTTATTATAAAAAATTGATTTGTAAAATAGTAACGGCAAGTGAAATGTCTGAAGCACAACGAAGAATTCATATTGGTCTTTCAGCTGATGATCGACGTTTTCATTTAAATATCGTTAAAATGCTTTCATGTCTTCTTGCTGAATATATTATTCGATTTGATAATGATCAGACTAATAAATCATCAGATTTCGATATGCCTGCACCAAAAGTATAAATATTTTATCATATTGAATAGGTTAAATTCTATTTTATTTTTTAGAAAGGTAAAAAAGTAAAGGAAGCAGAAAGTGGTGGAAAATCATCTTTAACATCTGATGCATTGAGAGATAAATGTTTAAAAGGTCTTTGTGATATTCTTCGATCACATATTAAACCATTATGGGATTCATCAATTATTGACGAACAATTTGTCAAGTAAATTTTTCTTTTTTTTATAGAATTATTTGTAGAAAAACTTTTCTTTTCTAATAGATCTGTAACTAAACCATGTTATCATTTACTTCGTCGACAAGATATTGCAAAAAATCCAATTGTAAAAGAAAATCTTCCATTAATACTTACTATTATGATTAACAAATTTGAACATGCAAGAGGTGAAATTATAATAAGAAAAAAAATTCTATAATAATTCTTTTTATTTTCTAGAAGCATCTATTCAATTTATTCAAGCAGTTAAACTTTATGATAGTAATTCAAGTTTACTTATTACAGTTTTGAATTCACTTCTTATTGATTATCAAGATACATCATTAGCAATTGAATTATTAAAGTTTGTTTTTCTATTATTTTAATTTAAATCAAAATTTATTATTTTAGAGAAATTTGTGAAACTAATTTTGTAGCTGCACAAGCTGATAATGCATCAGCAAAAACCATGGCAACATTTATTATAGATATGGCTAGACTTGATCCACATATTATTCGAACACATATTGATCAAATAACTGATTTATTAACAGCTGAAGTAATTTGGAATTTTATGTTATATCTAATATGTTTTTGTTTTCTTCTAGAGTCATCATATTCGTGTTGCTGCTTTAACAGCATTATGTTCTGTTATTGAAAAACTTCTTTCATCGGATGATTTAGATGATGGACAACGAAAAATGCGTGATGATCTCTTACAAATCCTACGTGTATGTTTATTTTGATTTAAATAATTAAATTATTTTACTATATGTATATAATTAGGAACATGTATCTGATGTAACAGCATTTGTTCGACAACATTGTTTACAATTATGGACATTACTTGTACAACAAAAGAAAGTTCCTGTTAGACAATATATTCGAGCATTTGAACTTGGACTTGATCGATTAAGAGATTCAGCTTGTGCTGTTCGAAAAGATGCAGTAACACTTGTTATGCATATGGTTCTTAATAATCCTTATTTTGTTGTTGTAAGTTTATTAAAATGAATCTATATGTTATATATATTAAGAAATTCTATATAGGATTCAACTCGATCTCAATTTGAAGAACGACAAAGTGATGCAGAAGCAAAATTAGCTGAACTTCATGGTGAACTTGAAAAATTAAATAAAATTACAAAAGAACAAAAGATAATGAAAGAAAAACAAATTGAATCTGATGATGATGAGGAAGATAGTGGAGCAGAAGATAAAAGTATTGATGAAGAGGATGAAATGAAAGTTGATAAGAATCAAGTAAAAACACAACGAAAAAACAAAGTTTTTAAATTAATTTCTATATAATTAGGAAAAAGAAAATCCTTCAAATGAAGATCAATCTTTACAAGATACTTTAGATCGAGTTAAAATTGAAGAACAAATTATGCGTATTGAAGAAATTGTTACTTTATTTAAAGTAATACAATTCTATTTAATCATTTATTTTAATCATATATTGAAATGATTTAGGATGGTTTGAGATTTATGGATTTAATTGAACAAGCAAATCGTCATGTTGTTAATTTATTTAATTCACCTACATTAGCTGATTGTAAACAAGCAGTTGATTTTTTTGTTAATCTTCGTCATTATCGTCTTGTTTTGCCAAATATTGAACAAAGTTTACGTTTAATGTTTAGTCTTATTTGGTCTATTGATAAATCAATATGTGAAGCAATTACACAAGCTTTTGTTAAAATTTACTTTGATGTTGCACCAACAGTTCCTGTTGCGTAAGTTATTTATAATGAATTAGGGAACCGGAATGTTCAGCACAGTAATTATTCAGCACATGAAAACATCAGCACCAAGATAAATTAGAATCTTGAGGGTGGGTGTGGGCGGGCATCAGTAATGTATTGTAATCGCACATCTACTCCCGCACCCACATCCACACCCATACCCACCCTCAAGATTCTAATTTTTCTTGATGCTAGTGTTTTCATTTGCTAAATAATTACTGTGCTGAACGTTCACCAATCCAATGAATTAATATCTTCGTTTTATTTTAGACATGTACCACTTCATCAAGCTCGTGCAATAATTCGTGCACTTAAAGGTGCTACATTTTCTGAAGAATTATGTTTTGAAGAAATTCTTAAACAATTAATTAAAGGAAAAAAAATTTCAACTGAAGCTATAACGGAAGCTTTATGGAAATTTTATAAAGCTCCACCAGATGATAATACAGATGTTATTGCAGGAAAAATTCTTACATTTATTGTTGGGTAAGATTTCATTGATATAAATTCGATTGAAAAATAAAAATCTTTCTTTTATATTTTATAGAAATGAAGTGAATACAAAATTAAATGATATAACAGATCTTATTCAAGCAAAAGAAAAAAATCGTCGTTTTGTACATATATCATGTTTACTTTTACAATTAGCTGCTACACCTAAAAAGGTTAGTAAAATAGAAAAAATATTGTCGTTTTTTATTTAAATATCGATTTAAATAGATGGAAAATGGTGTTCGACCAAAACAATTTCGTTTACCAAAAACACATCGTTTATTTGAAATTCTTGGCAATATTATTGTTTCAAGTAATAATCAAATAATAGAATTTTATGAAATCATATATTTATTCATTTTATAGCTTTTCATGATGTTTCCGATCGACAATGGACACCTATGATGGAATCAGCATTTGATGTTATTTTTAAATTAGCTGATGGACCAATAAAACATATTGAAAATATCATAAAAAAAACTTGCTGTTAAAACTGGTGTTAAACTTGGTGGCTTATTTAAAATTCCAACTGCATCTCAATCACAACCTGTATTTATCGAACCAATGGATTTTGAAAGTAAAAACGAAAACATTCTATTTCATATTTCATATCTAATTGAATAATATAGATGCTGGCAATGATAGTAGTCAAAATCAATTATCTCAACAGCAACAACATCATCATCATTCTCAAACAAATTCGAATTCTGCATTAATGTTAGTTCGTTTTTTAAATTGTCTTGGAAAAGCAGCTGTTGGAATCGTTTATTATGTCGATTGTACGGTGAAAGATGAACTTTTTCGTCGAAAAGAAGCTAAACAATCATCAGCAACGAATAAAAAATCACAACAAAAACCAAGAAAATCAGCAAAAAAACGAACTAAACGTAAAACACCCGATGAAGATGATGAAAATCAATCAACATCAATTAATGATACCACAACTACTTCATCAAATCAAACTGTAAAATTTCAAAAATAAAAATAAAACGAATTATTATTCTTTTCATTTAGTTCAATACAACAACTAATCAAACAATTGATGATGAACAAGATGATGAAATGTGTCAAGTATTTGGCGGTGCTGAAGCTGAAGATCCAGTTGATAATGAAATTAGTTTATATATACAATCATTATGTGAAAAAAATTCTTTATTAATGCAATATAAAAATATTCTTGAACAAGTATGAACATTTTTCTTCAATTGAATGATTTAAACAAAAGAAAACACGAGTCATTCTTATCGATATAACCAAAATCATATTATTATTGAATATAGAATTGATCTAATATAACTATGCAGCACACTCTATCTTTTTACGATTCCAAGTTTCTGTTTTCGGGTGAGCGCGGTCTATCAATGCTTTGTCTAAGTCTCGTTTTTTGGGTGGGAGAATTGAAATTTCGGATGGGCGCCGCCTGCCCGCTAGACAAAGCGGCTTACCATACTCTCGCCAACACACTCAATAGACTTTCACCAATTGGCGAGAATCCACTGTACTTTCGCCATAAATACTTGAGACATTCGCCAATTGGCGAATGTCCAGTTGGCGAAAGTCTTATTGGCGAGAGTGGGAAATTCCGATAAAGCACTTGCGACTTCAATATAAAAGAAGCATCAGTTAATAATATGTCCGTTGTTTTTCTTAATATACGATCGTTTTGTAAGAATCTATTCTTTACATTTATTATTTTTTACTTAAGATTCTTCTTCATCCAAATGACTATCGTGAAGAAGCACTTCAATTAAGTGCTACTATATGTTTATGTAAATTTATGTTATTATCTGTTGAATTATGTGAAACACATGCAAAAATGTTATTTGATCTATTAAAAAATTCTACATTTGAAAGTGTACGTGTTGCTATTATGGTTTTAATGAATGATTTTTATTTGAAGTAAGTTCGTAAAAAATAAGAGAATAGAATAATATTTTTCGTTCTTTCCTAAAGATATCCATTAGCATTTGCTGCTTATTCAAATGATGTTTACGGTTGTTTACGTGATCGATCAGATAATGTTCGTTTAGCAGCATTAAAAACAATTTCAAATTTAATTCTCAAAGAAATGGTTAAAGTGAGTTATTTTTCTTGATATAAAAGTTTTTTTTCTATAAATTAATCTCTTTAGCCAAAAGGACAAATAAGTGAAATAGCTTTATGTATTATTGATAAACATCCTCAAATAGCAACATTAGCTACATCATTCTTTAGTGAATTAGCTAAACGTCAACATGGCGAAGCATTATTTAATATTTTACCAGATATATTTTCGAATTTAGTTGGCGGTGGATTAGATAAAGAACGTGAATTAAATGAAGAAGATTTCAAATGTATTATGGAATTTTTATTTAAATATGTTAGTAAAGAAAAACAAACGGAAAGTTTATCAGAAAAATTATGTCAACGATTTCATCTGGCTGAGTAAGATTATTTTATTACAGAGTAAATCATTAAAATAACTTTATCTATTATTTATTTTAGTAATAATCCTCGTTTATGGCGTGATCTTGCATATATTATGTCAAAACTAACATACAATGAACGAGCATTAAAAGGTTTATTAGATCATTATAATTATTATGCTGATAAACTAGTTGAAGATGCTGTTTATGAATCATTTTTAATGATTGTTAATAATGCGAAGAAATTATTAGGAAATAAACCTGATTTAAAAGTAAAAACAAACGTGTTTCTTTTTTCTTATTTATAAAAATTAATGAAATTTAGGTTGTACTTGATGAATTATCAATTCGTATTGATCAAGCAAGATCTTCAAGTGGAATATTAGTAGCTGTACAACAAGCACAACAAAAAACTAAACAACAACCAAAAAGTAAAATTCGTATAAATAATTTTAATTTTTAATAAGATTATTTATTTTGTTATTAGTTCCACGTGCGGGTGGAGCGAAGAAAGGTAAACAGACAGCACCTAGTCGTAGTAAAACCAAAGCAGCACAATGTAAGAATTAATTACTTAGAAAAATTTATATTGTTATATAAGTTCTTTATGTTTAGCGGATGATGATGATGATGATGGTTCAAAAGAAAATTCAGATGACGATGAAAATGATTTTAAACAACCGACGAAAAAGGAAGCAAAAATACCAACAACAACTCGATCAAAACGTGGTGCGGCCGTAACTGCACGTAAAAAAGCAGCTGTAGTAGCGAGTGATAGCGACGAAGATGATGATTAACTTGCTTTTTCTTTTTGTTTCTCTCTCTCTCTCTCTCTCTCTTCTAGAATTAAAATGTATATAAATAATAATTTGGCTATTTTCTTTAGAAATTATACTTTTCTCTTTTTCCTTCTCTTTATATCCTTTATTAGAGAACTTTGTTATGCATAATAGTTCAATTTATTTTGTCTTTGTGTTTCATTGTAAAAAAAATAAGCGTTTTTTGTCTATATAATGCAAATAGAAGATCTGTTTGTTATATTTGATTTTTTTTAAACATAGAACATGCACATTATTGATATTGACCATAAAAGAAGAAAATGTTTACTCACTTCATTGATAATTAAGTTTGTGTTCGATTGTTGATGAGAAAATGAAGATAAAAGATGTTGTCCTGCTCTGTGCCGATCTCTAATTCCACTTTATCTATGATCAGATGACGTTTATCTATTCGAAGCTTATGTTGCAAAAAATAAACTTCGTCAACGTGTTCTCATGTGTCATACGGTTATTCTAATGTGTAATGAAAACAAAGATATGTGTCATACACTCTAGTTGTGTTAAGATATACCAGCTTGTCAAACATTGGGAACAATATAGTATAAAACGACACTATCTTAGTCATCTATTTTCATATTATCTACTACTAAAAAGGGAATAATATAATTTACTCAGTATTAATTATTATAACAATGGAATATAATTCGAATAAACAAGATGATAATTCACAAAGTATCTGTCCGTATGTTATTTTTTTTATAACGAACAGTATTTTCATCCTTCAGACATAATTTTATTTATTCTATACAGACCATATCAAGAAATGTCTACAACCTATTCATCACATCCTCAGCAACTCATTAGTGGAACTGGTTATATGACGCCAGGTGAATTATACACTCATCAAACATCATTATATAAACCAGGTGGTATTGTTATTAAGTCTACTTTTAACACAGCTGGGATAAGTACATTACCAACTCCAATAACAACTAATCTAAGAATGTTTTTACTCATTTCTGGTTTTATCTATTCCTTTTGGGGCATATTAATGGCTAGCCTTGAAATTGCTATTGTTGTCAATACTTATTCAACATATTATCATGGGGCTTGGATAGGTCCTTTTCTGATATTTGGAGGAATTTTTATGATGGTTGTTGCCTTTCGATCGTATTATCTACTAATTCATCTTAATCGAATATATAATGCTAATCTGAATTTTTGTTTACTTGGACTTATTTTGACCATTATTAATTCTAGAACAACACCTCGATGCAGTCCAGATTCTTCATTGTATTGCGATAGTACTTTAACAAATTGTTTAAAAATAATTCTTACAATTACATTTATACTTGGTTTTCTTCATTCAATAATCAATAAGATTTTCATTTATAAAGAACATCAACAAACAGTATTGAAAGCCAATTCAGACGTTGCAAATTATTAGATTTATTTATGCAAGAGAAACTATACACAATGAATATTGTTTTTTTAAAATGAAAACATAAAATAAAATATGATAAACGAATGTATAGGAGTTTTTGAACAAATTAATAATAATAAATATGAAACACAAATTGAAAGAATTTTAATTTATTTTAAATATAGTGAAACTAGTTATTTATAACGAAATCAAATACAAAGTTTAAAGTTTAGCTAGAGCTTTCGGCTCACCCAGAAGTAAATTTGTTTCAATAACAAATGATGTTCTTAATGGTGATAACATGTAAGTAAGACTTATGGAACTACGACTTTGTGATAACAATTATAATTATGAGTATGCAATACATATGATACTCACAGCCGAATACATCCATCCGCCCACACACTCAAAATGCTATTTCAACTCATTTTATCTATGATCAAATGATGTTTATCTATTTGAAGCTTATATTGCAAAAATAAACTTCATCAACGTGCTCTCATGTGTCATATAGTTATCTTAATGAGTAATGAAAACAACGATATGTGACATGTGCTCTAGTTGTGATTAGATAAGTCAGTTTGTCAAACATTGAAAACAATATAGTATAAAAGGACTCTATTTTAGTCATTTATTTTGATATTAACTACAACTAAAAAAAGAAAATCATCATTTACTCAGTATAAGATATTATAACAATGGAATCGAATTCGAATAAACAGCATGATAATTCACAAAGTATCTATCCGTAAGTTATATATTTGTAACAAACATCGTGTTCATCTTTTAGTTATAATTTTGTCTATTCTATAAAGATCGTATCAAGGAATGTCTTCACCTTATTCATCACATCCTCAGCAACTCACTAATGCAACTGGTTATGAGAAATCAGGTGTATTATATACTTCACAAACACCATTATATCAACAAAATGGTATTACTACTATGCCTACGTATCAAGTAGTTTGGAAAAATAAATTACCAACAGCAATAACAACTAATTTAAGAATGTTTTTATTTATTTCTGGCTTTATCTATTCCTTTTGGGGCATATCAATGACTAGTCTTCAAGTTGCTATTGTTATCAATACTTTTTCAACATCTTATTATGGATTTTATTTAGGTGCTTTTCTGATAATTACAGGAATTGTTATGATGGTTGTTGCATTTCGATCCTATTATCCATTAATTCATCTTAAACGAATATATAATATTAATCTGTGTGTTTGTTTACTTGGATTAATTTTTTCTATTACGGATTATACGAGATCAACTCGATGCAGTTCAACTTCTTCATCGTATTGTGATGATACTTTAGCAAGTCATTTAAAAATCATTCTTGTAATTACATATGTACTCGGTTTTATTCATACAATAATCAATAAGAGCTTCATTTCCAAAGAACATCAACAAACAGTATGGAAAGCCAATTCAGACGTTGCAAATTATTAGATTTATTTATGTAAGAGAAACTATACACAATGAACATTTGTTTTTTAAATGAAAACATAAAATAAAATAAATGCTCTTTTCACTTGTTCTCTCTCTCCTCCTTTTCTTTTTTTTTTTTCAAATTTATCAATCTGACATCACCGGAATAGTCTGTTTTATCAAAAAAAAAGAAAGAATGCAAATGACCAAAATAACATTATATTAATTATCACTGGGCTTTTTGGTCATTGAGGGGAGTTGATGTTGAGCTTTGTCGTTTTAATTTCAATAATGTATCAGCTGCTTGACGCATATGCACTGGAGGATTTGTATTAGTTGTTGGTGATGATATGGTATTTGATGGCTGCGATTGGTTTGTCAATTCAAATAATTGCCGTTGTTTGTTTTCATAATCCAAAATATATTTTGGAAATATTGAACGTTCATCAAAAGCTGATTTTAAATCTATAACAGAATAAATCTATTCTATTTTATTTAAAAGAATATATATTTCATTACTTCCACCAATTGTTGTTGCGACTGGACGTCGTCGATTATCATCCGCTGTATTATTTAAACGCCATGCAGAATTCGGATTTGAATGAACTGTTTTTTTCTGTTCAGGTATTACTGGTGGTTCATATGTTTCAAGAGACTTTATTAAAAAAAATAATTCTAAAGGAAGATATTAAAAGAAAAACGAAACTTACACC